GGGGGGGGGGGGGGGGGATTAAGAGAGAAAGAGAACGGTTACAGCCTGTTCATTTACCCCTTTTATATGGGTGCTAGGAATACAGTTTTTCCGAAACTAAAATGCTGCACGTTGGGCAGTACATGAAGGCCATTTTAAAACTTCATATATGACATACTTCAATGAGATTTTCATCTCCTTCTTTGATAATACAGCTAGTAAACTCTGAATAACTACAGCAGCTCCCAATAGGGAGATAAATTTTTTATGCCCGATTTTCTCTCATTTTTAAGGAGAAGTAGATCTTTCTGGAAGAATGTTCACAGGCACTTAAACTTTTATCCCTCATAAGTCTTATGTTTTTCAATTTATGTATTAACATTCCTTTTCCTCCCTCTATCATTTCTTATGGAGTTATGGTGACTGTATAAGTCAACAGGAAAGAAAATCAAAAATAGATATATGCCAGTAGGAAATGATGGCAGCTTGAGAGAGTAAACTACCATTCTAAGACTAGAAGACTTCATTTACTCAATTTAAACAGTCAAAAAAAACAAGATTTCATCTACTCAATTTATTGTGTAAATTCACATTAATGTGTAAGCAAAACATTCTGGTATCACAACGATGATGCTCAAGACGTGATTTGAACCTAAAGATGCATGACCTCAAAAGGCCACTGGAAGTAGATCCGTCACCAACTATATCAAAATTGTGAACTTATAAACGTACCTTAGCCGTTCCTGTGTTCTATTCTTCCAGTATTCAGCTGTTACATGTGAATCAATCATTGCACCAGCAACGTACGGGAGGTGCTTCACATAATCTAGACTGAAGTAATGACCTCGCATTTCATGGATCCACCATAAAACTTTGGGAAGGACACGAGGAACATGTTCCTTGAGAACAGCATCCAACCATTTCCCAGCAACGGCAGTGTTTAAAACAACCAAGTCAGCTTTTAAAGCAGTGTCTATTGCCTCCTGACCCTTAGCAGAGACAACCTGAAAGCAGACATGCCTC